GTACCTTTAATTTAAATGCCCTTGGAGATGATGAAGGAGAAGGAGAAGGAGAAGAGAAGGATGAGAAGAAGGAGAAGGAGAAGGATGAGAAGAAGGAGAAGGAGAAGGATGAGAAGAAGGAGAAGGATGAGAAGAAGGAGAAGGATGAGAAGAAGGAGAAGGAGAAGGAGAAGGATGAGAAGAAGGAGAAGGAGAAGGATGAGAAGAAGGAGAAGGAGAAGGATGAGAAGAAGGAGAAGGATGAGAAGGAGAAGGATGAGAAGAAGAAGGATGAGAAGAAGGAGAAGGATGAGAAGAAGGAGAAGGAGAAGGATGAGAAGAAGGAGAAGGAGAAGGATGAGAAGAAAGAGAAGGATGAGAAGAAGAAGGATGAGAAGAAGGAGAAGGATGAGAAGAAGAAGGATGAGAAGAAGGAAAAGGATGAGAAGAAGAAGGATGAGAAGAAGGAGAAGGATGAGAAGAAGGAGAATGATGAGAAGAAGGAGAAGGATGATAAGAAGGAGAAGGAAAGAGAAGAAGGAGAAGGAGAAGGATGAGAAGAAGGAGAAGGATGAGAAGAAGGAGAAGGATGAGAAGAAGGAGAAGGAGAAGGATGAGAAGAAGGAGAAGGATGAGAAGAAGAAGGATGAGAAGAAGGATGAGAAGAAGGAGGAGAAGGATGAGAAGAAGAAGGATGAGAAGAAGGAGAAGGATGAGAAGAAGGAGAATGATGAGAAGAAGGAGAAGGATGAGAAGAAGGAGAAGGATGAGAAGAAGGAGAAGGATGAAGAAGGAGAAGGAGAAGGATGAGAAGAAAAAGGATGAGAAGAAGGAGAAGGAGAAGGATGAGAAGAAGGAGAAGGATGAGAAGAAGGAGAAGGAGAAGGATGAGAAGAAGGAGAAGGATGAGAAGAAGGAGAAGGATGAGAAGAAGGAGAAGGAGAAGCAGAAGAAGAAGGATGAGAAGAAGGAGAAGGAGAAGGATGAGAAGAAGGAGAAGAGAAGGATGAGAAGAAGGAGAAGGATGAGAAGAAGGATGAGCAGAAGAAAGGAAGGATGAGAAGAAGGAGAAGGATGAGAAGAAGGAGAAGGATGAGAAGAAGGATGAGAAGGATGAGAAGAAGGAGAAGGATGAGAAGAAGGACAGTTCTGTGACAGTTTCTGTCTATTTCTGACAGTTCTGGGACATTCACTCCATACAGCGGTTTCAACCGCTGTATGGAGGGAATGTCATAGAACTGTCAGAAATAGACTATTAATGACAGTTCTGGGACTGTCCTTCCATGCAGCGGTTGAAACATTGTATGTATTTGTTTCCATAAATGGATCCATTTATGGAAACAAATACATACAATGTTTCAACCGCTGCATGGAAGGACAGTCCCAGAACTGTCATTAATAGTCTATTTCTGACAGTTCCATGACATTCCCTCCATACAGCGGTTAAAACAGCTGTATGGAGTGAATGTCTGAACTGTCATAAATAGTCTATTTCTGACAGATCTGGGACATTCACTCCATACAGCTGTTTTTAACCGCTGTATGGAGGGAATGTCATGGAACTGTCAGAAATAGACTATTAATGACAGTTCTGGGACTGTCCTTCCATACAGCGGTTTGAAAACATTGTATGTATTTGTTTCCATAAATGGATCCATTTATGGAAACATTTACATACAATGTTTCAACCGCTGCATTGAAGGACAGTCCCAGAACTGTCATTAATAGTCTATTTCTGACAGTTCCATGACATTCCCTCCATACAGCGGTTTTAAAACAGCTGTATGCAGTGAATGTCCCAGAACTGTCATAAATAGTCTATTTCTGACAGATCTGGGACATTCACTCCATACAGCTGTTTTGATATAAAAAACCGCTGTATGGAGGGAATGTCATGGAACTGTCAGAAATAGACTATTAATGACAGTTGTGGGACTGTCCTTCCATGCAGCGGTTGAAACATTGTATGTATTTGTTTCCATAAATGGATCCATTTATGGAAACAAATACATACAATGTTTCAACCGCTGTATGGAAGGACAGTCCCCAACTGTCATTAATAGTCTATTTCTGACAGTTCCATGACATTCCCTCCATACAGCGGTTAAAACAGCTGTATGCAGTGAATGTCCCAGAACTGTCATAAATAGTCTATTTCTGACAGATCTGGGACATTCACTCCATACAGCTGTTTTAACGGCTGTATGGAGGGAATGTCATGGAACTGTCAGAAATAGACTATTAATGACAGTTCTGGGACTGTCCTTCCATACAGCGGTTGAAACATTGTATGTATTTTTGTTTCCATAAATGGATCCATTTATGGAAACATTTACATACAATGTTTCAACCGCTGCATTGAAGGACAGTCCCAGAACTGTCATTAATAGTCTATTTCTGACAGTTCCATGACATTCCCTCCATACAGCGGTTAAAACAGCTGTATGCAGTGAATGTCCCAGAACTGTCATAAATAGTCTATTTCTGACAGATCTGGGACATTCACTCCATACAGCTGTTTTAACCGCTGTATGGAGGGAATGTCATGGAACTGTCAGAAATAGACTATTAATGACAGTTCTGGGACTGTCCTTCCATGCAGCGGTTGAAACATTGTATGTATTTGTTTCCATAAATGGATCCATTTATGGAAACAAATACATAAAATGTTTCAACCGCTGTATGGAAGGACAGTCCCACAACTGTCATTAATAGTCTATTTCTGACAGTTCCATGACATTCCCTCCATACAGCGGTTAAAACAGCTGTATGCAGTGAATGTCCCAGAACTGTCATAAATAGTCTATTTCTGACAGATCTGGGACATTCACTCCATACAGCTGTTTTTAACCGCTGTATGGAGGGAATGTCATGGAACTGTCAGAAATAGACTATTAATGACAGTTCTGGGACTGTCCTTCCATACAGCGGTTGAAACATTGTATGTATTTGTTTCCATAAATGGATCCATTTATGGAAACAAATACATACAATGTTTCAACCGCTGTATGGAAGGACAGTCCCAGAACTGTCATTAATAGTCTATTTCTGACAGTTCCATGACATTCCCTCCATACAGCGGTTAAAACAGCTGTATGCAGTGAATGTCCCAGAACTGTCATAAATAGTCTATTTCTGATAGATCTGGGACATTCACTCCATACAGCTGTTTTAACCGCTGTATGGAGGGAATGTCATGGAACTGTCAGAAATAGACTATTAATGACAGTTGTGGGACTGTCCTTCCATACAGCGGTTGAAAACATTGTATGTATTTGTTTCCATAAATGGATCCATTTATGGAAACAAAATACATACAATGTTTCAACCGCTGTATGGAAGGACAGTCCCACAACTGTCATTAATAGTCTATTTCTGACAGTTTCCATGACATTCCCTCCATACAGCGGTTCTGTATGCAGTGAATGTCCCAGAACTGTCATAAATAGTCTATTTCTGACAGTTCTGGGACATTCACTCCATACAGCGGTTTTCGGCAAAAAGTGTATGTGCAGAGTTCCTCTATTCTGCAGATACACTTAGAGGAAGCTCTGCAGATACACTTTTAGAGGAGGCTCTGCACATACACTTCTTTTCCGTTTTGGAATTATTCTTATTTTCATCCTACTTCTTCTTTCTTCTTCTTCATCCTCATCCTCATCCTCTTCTTCTTCTGAGGATGAGGATGAGGAATTGAAGAAGAAGAAGAAGAAGAAGAAGAAGAAGTAGGATGAAAATAAGATTAATTCCAAGCCGGCAAAAGTGTATGTGCAGAGCTCCTCTAAGTGTATCTGCAGAGCTCCTCTAAGTGTATCTGCAGAATAGAGGAACTCTGCACATACACTTTTTGCCGGCTTGGAATTATTCTTCTTTTCATCCTACTTCTTCTTCTTCTTCTTTTCATCCTCCATCCTCAGAAGATGAGGATGAGGAAGAAGAAGAAGAAGAAAGAAGAAGAAGAAGAAGAAGAAGTAATGAAAAGAAGAATAATTCCATGCCGGCAAAAAGTGTATGTGCAGAGTTCCTCTATTTCTGACAGTTCTCTCACAGCTTCTTCACATGTACAGCGGTTTGAAATATCTGTATCCTAAATGGAAACTAATAGATACAAATTGTACTATTAGTTTCCATTTTAGGATACAGATGTTTCAAACGCTGTACATGTGAAGAAGCTGTGAGAGAACTGTCAGAAATAGAGGAACTCTGCACATACACTTTTTGCCGGCTTGGAATTATTCTTCTTTTCATCCCTACTTCTTCTTCTTCTTCTTCTTCTTCTTCTTCTTGCTTCTTCTTCTTCTTCTCAAATCCTCATCCTCATCCTCTTCTTCTGAGGATGAAGAAGAAGAAGAAGTAGGATGAAAAGAAGAATAATTCCAAGCCGGCAAAAAGTGTATGTGCAGAGTTTCCTCTATTTCTGACAGTTCTCTCACAACTTCTTCACATGTACAGTGGTTGAAAACATCTGTATCCTAAATGTAAACTAGTACTAATCTCTTCATACTCAGATTCTTGGACATATTCTGTCATTTTCCATAAAATATATTTCTGACTGCCTTCCAGGAATATATAAAAAATTTCAGCTGACTGCACAAAACTCAGTTAATTCAGATCATTATCATTGTGAAAGACAGCTAGTTTGAACACAAAACTTGGATTCTTACCCATGTGAAATCCCAAAGGTTAGGCTCTAGACAAAAGTGTTAGTCTTAAATTAGTTTGTAGATGCAGTCTAAACATAAGAGTCTAACTAGTGATGCATGGGCGCTGCCTTCAGTACAAAAGAAATAACTGCATCTAGGAAAAAGAATTTGAAACATGTATTTTACTATAATCAAGTGAACCCAACCTCTATTGATTTTTGTGGATAGAAAATGACAGATGTTGTTCATTAGTCGTATTGTGCACAGAGGAACCCTAGCATAATTGGATGTGCTATAATTTAAATGCTGCATCCTCAGCTGCATATTAATCTCTGCTGCTTGATTTCATGCTACAATTTAGAATCACAAAATACTTACGGTTCAGGTGTGTATAGAGGATCTGATCCATGTCTGATGTACTGGGTGCAGTGAAACACTCTATAAGCTAGTCCAGCTAAGAAGTCTCTTGGGGAGAGATAGCCAGCCACTGGTCTCACAGTGAATCCAGATCTTTCTAAATAAATGACAAACAATGTTTATTACACTACACATCAAGTGAAATGCTGGGGGAAACACAATCTACAAATGCTTATTAGTAATACAGGGAATTTTGTCCACTGAAATGATCCTTTTAGGACTGAAAATATTGTTCCTGTGCATCCGCATTGAAAAATCAAATGCATTTGTTTCCAGTGGTGCTGGAAAGGCCTTGGGTCTTTTATGCTTCTGTAATAGCATGAAGCTCTTTAGTTCTTTTGCCACCCAAGTCATGGTGAATAATAATTTGTATATCAAAATCCTTGCCCTAGGCTGTTAAACATAGAAGGCCATATGCATTTTCTTCACACTAATTAAGATAATCTAAGGTACAGCAAAGGAGAACAGATACCACAGAGGCCATATGAGGAAGTGTCCATAATAATGATCAAAAAATTAGAATTTCATTTAATTTGACTTAGAATGTCTTCAGGCAGAATAAAAAAAAAAGTTAAGCAGTCATTAAAGTTATTTATCAGGTTAAAAGAAAAATGAGATGTACTGTATTTTCAGTGTGACAATTTCCAGTTGTTCATTGCGCACACATTGTCTAAATGAAAGTGTTACATTTCATATCCCCACCATTCAATATTTTTATTAGGGTTATGTTAGGTATGTTCAATAAGCATCATTACTGTAGGACTACAATGATAATGGATTACTAGAATAAAGACAATAAAGATTGTTTTCTACTAGCTGGAAGAGACCGAATGACTTGCAGTGAGAGGGGAAAACAGTCACTGTTTATTAAAGCATTGCTAAGTATGAAGAGGACTTGTATATATAATTATTAAAGTGCATATTTAAAGTGGTATTGAACCCAAAAGCAAACATTTATTATTGCAGTTTACCAATCCTTACTGAACCAGAAGTTGGATTGACAAGTGTACAGTGAACTTTCATGATCGCTTCAGCAGCCTCCCACAATGGGATCACAGAGAGTGGAGGTTTTTGCTCCTACACTCTCCCAAAAGGGAATTGGGTGGAGTGTAAGGACTACCACAATACCATCCCAACACTAACATAAAATAGGAGTTACTGCCTATGAACTTTATCCAGGAATATTACTATTCAAGTTAGTTGAAATACAGAATGAGGTGCTGAGAAGTACAGTATACGTACGTATGAATCTTCTAATACATAAATAATAAATATGCATATGAGGATCTATAAATGTATAAAGGCATGTGAAAAAAAACATAAATATATATATAATAATACCATTACATGCATTCACCACATGCACTTCTTAGAATAAAATATTTTTCACAAGAGTGGTCATTTAATCAGATAACAAAGTATTACATCATTAAGATTAAATTAATTTTCCACAAAAATGGACTCCTGCTACCACCAGAGCAGCACCTTCCCAAGCATATCCCTCTACTGTATCTTTTATCCACCTAAATCATAAGTCTATTAAGAAAACTAGAAAATATGGCATAACAAAAAGGTATGTTCTTAACGTGTTTCAGATACACTCATTTTTAGAAACACCAGATTAAAGATACAGTCATACCCTATGAACTGCACAATGCTTCTTGAAAATGGCCATATTCAGGGCAAAGTGTCCTTCCAATAGCCCTTCTCATCCCTCACCAAAGAATACTTATTCATCTTTGACCCTTTGCCATCTCTCTGCTCCATATGTGCACTAGCTCAGTCGCTCCAATGGGCCGCGGCTTTTAGATATGGGAAAGTGTGTGATTTCCCCCATGTAACAGTCCTTGGATCTGAGCCACCAGTCACCACGCTCAAACACTGTCACAAGGGAAGGCTGTGACATCATCTGATGCAATCTGTCCACAGACTTTATCCAAGGTAGACTCCTTCAGTGGGGAGGCAGCAAGGCAACTAAAAGCGTCCAGGTGGTAAATATATGAAAAAGTTCTGGTTGGAAATGGTAAATATGACATATCTATATGCATGATTTACCTGGCCTAAAATATGATATTTTCTTTGTAGCAACAGGCCAGAAAAAAGACACTGTCATCGGTCATGAGTGCTTCCATCAGCCTAACCATCTTTTTGCATAGTTTACAATAATCCAATGATTACACATAATATACATGCACATGTCCTGTATTTAAAAACAGCTTTCCAATATTATCTGCCTTTTGTAACATACAATTTTTTGATGAAAAAATTGTTTGTTTTTTTAATTCTTTTTTGTGATTTTCAAAGGTATAAAAGTACAAAACACCATCCAATTACTTAACACAAACAACAACCATACCAGCCTACGCAGGGGCCAACAAAAAAGACAACCACTCATGTGGAAGGAACACAAGTACAGCAAAAAGCCTATGTGGTATGACTCATGCAGAAGCCAGGATAGTGGCTGGATTAGAGCAACATAGCTCAGAGAGATGTCAAAAGAATTGTTATTGCTTAGGGACCAATGTTTCATAATAATATTTTACAACCTAAGAATTGTGTATCCTGATTATGCATCCAGCAGAAATAGTACTGAACCAGAAAACAACTTTGTCCCTGTAAGTCCCAACATCTTAATACTGATAAATGTTGGAATAGTGGCTATACTGGCTTCATGGCAGCATCGTGTAGCATATTAAGTAATAGAAAGTAATCCATGCAACTTAATTCATCCAAAACCTCAAAAAAAAATTTTTGTGTTCAATATTGGTGGGGAAGGCTTAGAAACTCAGCTATCTTCATGATCATTTGGGAAATTTCCTCTAACATCCTGTCTTGTGAGGACACTACAAATGCACATTTTTTTTCTAGCACAGTGGAAAAAAGGTTGGAACCTTTATTAAGGGTTCCAACCTACCTCAATCCATTTAATACTAAAAAGAAAAAAAATATATATTTTTTTTATATATATGTAGAATTATTATATAGAATTTCCTGCTGCACAGAGCTTTCAAGATTTCCATGTTTTGAAAAAACAAGAAACAGCATGTCGACAGAGTTTATGTAGGAAAAAATATTTACTTTACACCTAGGTGTGTAGTACGGAAAGGATGCACAATTCAGTTTAACATGCCACCAATCAATGCATTAGCTGTTTTTCAAACGCCAATGATCACATTTTCAAAGCTGTAGAAATATTTTTGCCAGTATGTTATGGAAACAGCTTGTTTACCCCTACTACAAAGTAAATTAAACACCACACAGTGACATGTGACAATGACACCATGGGAAAATAGAAAGGCTGTTGCTATAACATAACAACATGTCAGTAAGATACATACCAAATGCTCAAAACAAAAACATGAAGTATGAATATAAGATATGTCCCAAGCAAATGAAATATTAAAACATTATACATAATGTACAGTATATATAATATGGACAAAACAACTTGGTTTGCAATCAGCACCCCAGTTCATCCCAATGGTGTTTAATAGGGATGAGGCCATGGCTATGTGCAAGCTGGTTGGGTTCTGTCACCAAATTCATCAAACAATGTCTATATAAAACTGGTTTTGTGCCGAAGGGCAGAAAGCAGAAAAGAACAAAAAAAGGATCTTCTGCAAGCTATTGCTACAAAGTTAGTAGCACACAATTGTTTAAAAAAGGTCTTTGTATGCTGTAGCACTAATAGTGCCCTACACTAGAAAAAGCTTGGTGCCCACATACATTTAGCCATGCATGAAAAGGCCTAACCAATTGAATGATATGAAATTTCTATATATGCTGCAGGTCCTCTACAGCAGTTAGCAGCAGATGTGAAGAGCCACACCAAAAACAGCTGAGAGCAGTCCCTAAGTAGAGATGAGCAAATCAATTTAGATTTCACTGCAAGTCAAAGCAATCACAGTGAGCAGATTGATGAAAAGAGGTGCTTGCCAGATTTGTCATGGTTTATCCGAATATGCATATAGCAGATCATGCAAAATCAGCATGCAAATACTGTATGTGTTTAAACTGTGATTGTTCTGGAAAGTCTCAGATCAATCTGATAAGAACAGATTCACTCTGCATTCCCAAGCCACTGGTTGTGGACTACAGCTCTATATCAAAAAATTTGCAGGTAATGATGATAAAAGTGTCCTTAAGAAGTCAATACAAAAGACTTTCATTTCTAGACTGCTTATAGTAGAAAAACAATGGGGCTCATACATAAAAATTGAGAGCTAAAATATGATGGTGACCATAGTAACCAAATATTTGCTGATTTTTAGGTTTTATTTGCACTAAACCATGACAGTCAGAATCTGAGTGGTTGCCTACACTTTTATTTGTCCCCAGATTTTATATAGAAGACCTACTAATAATGGAAATAAATTACTGGTAGTACGATTTAGCCATGAATGGCAATGCCACAATTTTAAAGCACGCCTATCAATTTTTCCCATAGCAGTCATTCCCTAAAAAAAGGCACAATAGTTTGAACATTTAGTCCTCAACTGTAAGAACTTACAGCTGTGACCACCCAACAGAGCAACCATTGATTCCACCTGTGCACTGCCCAGCTCTGGTCATGGTATGTGGGAATGCTAGGCTAACATAGATAATGGTATACTGAGCAAAATTAGCATCTACCCAGATATTAGTCATCTCCATGTGCCAGTCCTTGAAACTTACCACAGGAGTCTCCAATGTGCAGATTTAGGGCCTTGCCCACACTTTTCTAATCCACTGCAGTGTTTTACTACACACATAATGTGTGGTACTTAACATGTTAACATAAAGTTGCATTGAAAAAGAAAATAAACCCTGCTGTGAAAAACTGCAAAAAGCTAAAGTTTTTGGCAAAACAGACTTGTAAATTCTCATTTTCCAAACAATGCTTTCCCTGAGCTCCTAGCAGTGGTCCTTTTCCTACACTACATGGTACACACTCTGTGCATTATACATCCTGACTTATTATTGACATATTCATGTGTTATATACCATCAGTGGATATACAATGGCTTAAGACAAGCACCTTAAGACCTGAGAGAAGTAGGTGACAGCAGCAATGGATGGGGAGAAGGGGGACAACAGGATCCTGGAACTGCCACTGCTGGAAATTAGGCACACTAAATGTTATAATGGCAAAAATCCACCCATCCTATGTGGAATTTAGTTTTGTCTCAAAGCAGCCACTCATTTAAAATGTCTGCTATTGCATGGTGAGGGACATCAAAGATCTGTGCAGTATTTTTTAATGCAGCGCACCACAAAGTATGGCATGTCATCCACTGTAGGGTTCTATCCTAAATAAATGGAATTATAGAGTGATGTGTGTTATGGCAAAGCATAGGTGTAAGCCAACCTTATATTGACTTTTATATAAGTCAATGCTAAAGAATGCCCCTAATGCATCAAAAAATATAATGCAAGGCTTCAGATACCTATTGAGAGACACCCTATACAGTATTGGTTTGTGAATGTGATCTATGAAGCAGTATAATGCCAGAAAGCACTGCAGCAATTAATTTCTTTGCCAGTTATACCTAAATAAATGCTTTTTTAAACAATATATTAGCCCTTATCTAACACTCAGGAAATCCTAATTAGTTTTTATCAACTTCTTTCTCTTCTTTCCTTAGTATTTTTTATGCTATTTTTTTTTTATTTGCATGTAAATATTTAATAATGGATTCTTTCGTTTGTGTTTATAGTTCCAAATGTAAAAAAAAAAAAACGTTTTGTACCAGAAACTAGATTCTAGTGTCTTTAAAAAGGAAACAAATTACAGGATAACATTTGTAATTAATTCTAGTTTTTTTTTTTTTGCTCTAGAATTTGTAGCTAATTTTATTATTTGAATAACTCCTTCATTCCCTACACTTAGCTTAAAATTTGTATTCAAATTTTACATTTGCGTTAGTTTTTGTGGGGATTGGGTAATGTTCTGCCTCCAGCAGGGGAATGCAATATATTAGGCTGTCCTGCCTGCAATATAAAATGTGTCCATTAGATGGAGCCAGTAATAAATGTACTGTTTTATAGAAACTAGAGACTGTTTAGTTAAGAGTTAATAAAAGTTCCCATAATTCTGACAGAAAAGAAAGATGCATCTTGGGAGCTCAGACTCCATCTTAGTAACTGAAAAAGAAGGAACCAGCTATCAGACCACATGGACTAGAACTTGCATCCCTTTGCATCCTAAGGCAGCATCGCTAGTGATAACCACTTTATCCTAACTATTCATTGTGTTTTCTGTATGTTGTTACGTTGATTTTATGTATTTCTCAACTGTTTTTCCTAATAGTTTCACCCACTTTATTCTGTGATTAAAGCTTTAAGATTACATTCAATCTATCTTACTTCAGAATAGGAGGGTTTAACTGCATGCCAAGTTACACACAAGGAATTGTTTACCAAGGATAGAACAGGGAAGGATAAAGAAACTTTGGCATTCTCACCTTGGATGCCAGAGGACCTTGTCCCAACACTGACCATAACACTATTGCCTAAATAAAAATATAAACAGCCATTTACAGGGCCTCTGTTTTTTTTCAAATGCTAACAGTGTCCTCTGGAAACAGGGTTTTATATATGTATATAGGATTTGTAACCCCTGTCCTGTTCCAGTCCACTTTAAAGGAATTCTATGGTCACAGCATACACTTTCAATTTATAGTATCACCATTGTAATAGCAATACAAACAATAGTTATTTTTGACAACCCAATATAAGATTACTTGAAAAATCTCCTTTCAGGTTGTGAGCTCTGCCTGTCTGCCCGCTATCTCCTTCCACTATTTCCTTTATTCCCTGCCTGCTTTGCAGCATCCCCTCTGTTGCTTACTTCTAAGGATGACATATCCCATGGTACCTTGCTGACTGCATACTGTGATTCCAGCACTGACTATGCTTCCTGAAACTCCTCCTTTGTAGTTCAGAAGGCAGGCTCTGTGAAATGTGACACAACAGTTCCTACCCACGGGGCATAGTAAATATGTGTCACAGAATTCAAGAAAGCAAATGTATGGTGATCTGTACAAAGTAAGTTCACAAATCATAATCATAGAGATATAATTATAGCCTCACCTTTCAGAAATGCTGCCACATCTTCCAGTTGTGGTACATTATCTTCTCTGTATCCACAGTATTTGGTTAATAGAGGTAGGTTCTTCAAATACTCTCTGCAAGCATGAGTTGGATACAACTGTGTAAGTTCTCTAAACACTGTACCCCATGTTTTTATCTCTTCCTCTGTGTACTCCACTCTTGGAATTGGTTGTCCACTAAATAAAAGCAACAAGAATCTATTACCACTTTGAAACCAGGCCAATTCTCACATTTCTCACATACATGTTAAAATCTGCATTATTTTTTTTGCTGAGAAATTACTTAGAATCCTCAAAAGTTATATATTTTGAGAAAGCAGAGACCCTGAAGAATAAAATGGTGGCTGTTGCAATTTTTTATGTTGCACAATATTTGTGCAGCCATTTTTAAATTGCCAATTTTCAGGAAAATATACACTTTAAAGAATTTTAGTGCACATGAATACTTCATAATGCCCAATTTTTTTTAATAAAATATAAAAGACAATGTTATGTCAAGTAAATAGATACCTAACATGTAACACTTTAAAATTGGGCAAGCCCATGGAATTGCAACAAACTACAGTACCTAAAATCTCCATAGGCGACACTTTAAAATCCTTTTCAGGTTACCAGTTTAAAGTCACAGAGGAGGTCTGGTGCTGGAAGTGATGAAATCCATGTCACTTCCAGTTTTTTATGACACAGAGGAGGGTTGGGTATAGATATACGTTCCTTTTTCTGTTTACTGGACAAGTCAGAAATAGTGGGCGTCATCAGAAGGGGAATCCCCTTCCACACCCTGTAGAAGTGATTGGGTGTCTGTAGAGCTGCTTGGATCACTTCTACAGTAAAGCCCATCACTGTCTGAAAGTTTTCATACAAGTATCATGGCTGCAGTTATGAGCTCAGTATAAATATATATAGACAGCGTTGGCCAAAATGCGAATCAAGATTACTAAACAGTTTGCCACATGTAAAAATGCAAAAAATAGAAAAATAAATGAACATCACCAAAAAATACAACTAATATCCAATGTATTAGTAAGTCCCATTCAAATAGTTGCTTTAAAATCAGAAGATAGGTGAACAGGTGTTGGTTCCTGTAGAAATGAAAAACAGGTAACACCTTCCAGGTGCTCCAGGTGACCCCACATGGATTTGCACTCACCACAATGGATGGACCTTCTATTACTAGATAAGTCTCACTGAGCTTTTTTGGTGGGACCCACTATGTATCTTGTCACCAACTTGACCATTCATATGTACAGTACCAGGATGCAATTTCTTCCAATACAATACATCTCCACTCAAAAATTAGTATCAGGGAAAAGGTTCATTGCACAAAGCAGCCAACTTTATTAAATCACATAAAACCTAACAATTACACTGCACTCACATGTATATGTGCCTAGGGACCAGCACCAGGTACATACAGCGCTTGTGGTTAAGATGGCTGCCACTGCCCCGAGGCCGGAAGCTGGCTTGTGCTCCAGGCATGAGATGTAATTTATTGGCTGGGGAACACTGTCTCAACTAGTTTCGTCTGTAAATGGATGTCTTCAAGAAGTTAGTGTTCACCATTTTGGAAGCTTTTTTCTGGTTACTAATGGCTCCAGCACCTTTTCACCTATCTTTTGGTTTTCAAGTAACTATCGTTTAAATGGGACTTACTGATACATTGGACATTAGTTGTATTTTCTGGTGTTGTTCATTTATTTTTCTATTTTTTTGCATTTTTACATGTGTAATCTTGATTCACATTTTAGTCAGTAAGATCTATATACACATTTATAGGGTTCACAAATGTGGTAGTCAGACACATTTTGAAAACTGCAGCAGCCATAATCACATTCATCTGTGTTTCCTTATTTTTTGTTTCTTTTGGTTTTGCCTGTGGTGCAGAGTTTTCATTGTTATTTAATGATCCCAGTATAACCACGTCAACCTGAGGACATACAGGTACACCCTAAGGATGTGAAGTGGTTAAGATCGGCATTCATTTAATACAACAGAACTACATATTGATAGAAGCTCAAGCCACAAGGTTTTTTCATGTGCCAAACACAACTGTAAAATATCCCTTCCCTTTCTGTTCCATTGACAATGGTCACAGGGATAGAAAGTGAGAGTGAATTTTCCACCAGGGACACAAACAGCAATAAAAATATGACAGAAGCTCCAACCCTTCATCTGCTCCATCCTAAACTAATAAATGTGTTTGCGGTAGTTCCACTTGTAACTTATTGAGACCATACAACAAATCAGCCATACTTAAACTTACTATTTATAATTCATAGCAACATCCACAAAATATTTTCTTCTTTGCCGGTAAACATTGTCCTTAAATCCCTTCAGAAAACAAAGGACAAAATAGAGAAAAAGAAACAATGTTAGCAAAAAAAAAAGACCAATCTGATTAAAAGAAACACTGTGTAAACAAACCATTACAGATCACAGGGACCTGAACAAAATAGTTGGATGAAGTATTTCCCTTACTGCAGTGCCAAACTGGTTACAGAAAGGTCAGATGAGGTCTTCAGTAGCATTCTTCTAGGCCCCAGCTTACTAACAACCTAAAGATTTTTTGTGCTTTAAAATCTTTTTAATGTCTTGCCCATGAAGAAGTTATTATTTGAATAAACAATTCTAATGGACATATTTAACAGCACTAAGCTATCCTAGTGACAAGGAGAATAAATACATCCTATGCCGGTACAAGGAAATGGAAAAATCTTTAACATATATCTAAATGGCTAAATGTCACGTACCTTATAAAGAAAACAAAACCCTTTATTAACAGACTGCATGTGTGCAGGAACTGTACAAAGACAGATTCTGATGCCATACTAGGAAGCAGATTAATTAAAAATGGAGTAAAAAAAAAAGAACACAAAGGGGAAACTGTTGCTCATAGTCATCCATTTTATGAAAGCATTCAAAATAAGTTCTTATTGGTCATTTTTGTGCATCTTTTCTTTTTTCCAGTTTTAATTAATCAGATCCTATTTTTTGTTGTAGCTGCCAACGCTGACCAGCAATTGAAAAGGAATATATAATATGTCCTTGTAAAAGAATTTACAATACAACACAAAGCTGTCCCATTATTTTCTGTTTTTCTCTTTCCATTTCTACAGAATAACTGCAAATATATCACTGTGGCATTGTAAGGTTTTGTCACATTTTCACAAATTACTTTTCATAGTTTCATCATCTAGGCCTTGAGTGATCTTTTTCTGTTTAAATTGCACATCATGTCAAATGTACTGAATTCTAAGGCCCCCTTCAAACTGAAGTATTCTATTGTATTGTGTTCCAGCCCACTGGTTAACATGTGGTATTATGTTGCGTCAATGCATGGCAACAGAAAAAATGAACCTGCAAATTTTTTTTTTTATGTACAGGCCACAACACATGGCAAATGCAGTATGGGTGAAGCAGGTCAGGTCAAAAGGCACCTACTGTACTGTGAGTCAGGGTTCAATTATAAAGGAATGACACTGTAACGCACCAGATTGCCATATATGACCTTGCACAAGACATATGCGTTAAGCCAACCTTGAACAACAAATTGAACATCTCAGTCACCATACACCATACAAGCCCAGCTGGGGTTAGTTACTACAACTGAACAGTCCAAAACCAATCAGCTTCCAGGTTTTATTGCCAAAGCCTAATGTAACAGCCTGAAGTTAAAAGCTGATTGGCTACCATACACAGCTTCACCAGAGTGCACCAGAGCGCACCCGTTTTAGTAAATCTACCCCAGTGTGTAATAGGTGATAACAGCTTCAGCCTTAGTCCATGATTAATCCCTGAGTATGGGGTGAAACATGTCAGGGGGTGTGGCCTGGATGGAGTTAGGCTGAGGCTGTTATTACATGCTGGGATTTATGGTGTGCAGTAGCTGAATTTTTTCTCTTTGTTCAGTGGATTACATGGAGTCAGGGTGGACTCCTAGCCTGACCTTCACCCTCAGTGGAATACACTGAATGGGAGACATAGATTCCGGAACGGAGACCCTAAAGTTGGCTTAGGTTCAAAGCCAACCTTGAACTTTAAGAGAATAGGGAATTTGAGTTTTACTGATTGCAAAGTGGTAGTTTTGAGGGCTTAGGGGGCATGTTGGACCACTGGAGATAGACTTCTATTTTCTTCCTCTTACCCAGGAAGGAAAGTTTAGGGTGCTTTGGAGTGCTAATAAAAAGGAAAAATAATAAGACTTTTAAAACTGCAACTCTTTATTCTTTTTTCCTAATGTTTAAAACTCGAAGCTACAATCAGGCTTTAAAATCAGTTTGTGGCCATTAATCTGGTATACTGGAAACAATAACTGCTGAGCGATATGAATATGCAGGCAACACCCACTGAATGTTCCCTGTTGTCAAACACAGCAAGCCAAGGAAGCTGCCTAGTACAGAACAACATGACAAAGAGCTGGAGTCCTATTGGCAGCACATGTGATATTTGAATAGAAGCACTTGTGAGGAAATAACAAAAAAAAAAATAATAAAGGTAAATTGAGGGGACTTGCTGACTTCCTGCAAAGTATTCACAGTTGACTGATTGATTTCCCTTGTCACTGTACAACCAGCTTTTTTTTGTTATAAAACAACATGTGGTTAGCTATTCTTTTATAAAGTAATCCACTGACAGCCCTAAAACCCTATCATTGAATTTGTATACTTCAACTTGGACAAGTGGGCTGTTGGTTACCATCAATCATGGAGAATGACCTGGGTCAACAACATTGGGGAGAGGGATGTATAGCTGAACTGGGAAGTTTAGCACATTTATTTTAGGTTTTGGCTTTCCATGCAGAACTAACCCATAGATTATAAATCACAATACGTAATATAGTTGTGTACATCTATGTCAGGATTGAAATTGGATTGCTGTAATGAGCCAATCTGTAAATCATATGGCTGGGGGTATTTTTATACATATGGATTTTTAAACATATAATACATTCATCTCTATGCATAGACAATAATATGAAGAGATGATTGTGGACCAGAAATATATCCAGACTCCCCCAAATTTGAAAGCCTGAGAATTGTGATTGAAGCTTTAAAAGTACACTTATCCCTATGGTCTGTTGAGACAAAATAAAAGCATTTGGATAGTCAGTTCATTTTCTAACCTCCATCCACCCAGCTTAGTTGACCATGTCTTTTTTTTAATTCACAGCTGAACGCAAGGCATAAGTAAAAGGCACACATTAACACATCTCTATTTTCATTAGCATATCCTCAAATGTTTTTTTTTTTCAATTAAAAGCTCTTTAAGCAATGCCAGGTCAAGGTCCCCTGGCATCCAAGGCAAGGATGCCAAAGTGCCTGCCCCCCTTCGCTGAGCTCTATAATTTGCCACTACAAAAACTAATACAAAATTCGTACAAATGAAAAAATAGCAAAAAGGGAAGAAGGGAATTACGTTGATAAAACTAATTAGGGTTCACTGAAAGTTAAAGTGGTTGGAAATCCTTATAAATACCCAGTGAAGTGACTGGTCACAGGTGATAAACAGAGATGAAACAAATCCAACTGCATATGTTGTACCTTTTTATCAGCGGTTTTCTCTTCTCTGCATCTTTTCAAAATCCAGAATTTATACAGTTTGAGTTGTAAGAGAATAGGGGGTGGAGAGCTTAAATTACACACTGCAGGGCTCAGTGAGGAGAGCTCTGAGAGCTGATTGGAGAGAAGACACACACCCCCCTCCACACAGCACACAGGAACAGAGCTGAGGCAGTCAATCTGATGAAGGTCCCTCCCCTTTCACCATTATTCTTTTGATGTTAGGAAAATTTATCAGAAGCTACTCTTACAGATAGCAGAGGAATGAGGCAGCAGACCGAAATGACACTTAATGCTCTGGATATACAAGTACATACTATAGAGAGATATGCATTGCCCATATTCATGTCTGAGGTTTACATCCACTTTAATATGGGGTTTAAGTGTTGTCTCAGACTGGGTGCACAGAAATGCAACTATATGTATTTTATCTGGAGTTCAGTTAACATATATTCAAGCAGAGACAAAGATCCAAGGTCAAGCAGATGTACTTGAAGCAGATGTTGATAACCACGCTTTAAACTTCCCCATATCAAATGCACCAGCCTGGAGAACTCTGACAAACTGCATTAAATATGCTATAACACACCAACTATATTCTAATAATGCAAAGTTTATTTTCTCACCACACAGAAATTTCTCTGTAAGCAGAGCTTTGAGTAAAAAAACAGTTCCAGCGCATCCTTTACATTTTTATGTCTGTTACAGATTAGGATGTCAAGTGATTTAACTGCATTATAAACCATGAAATATCACGGCAAATTTCAGAAAAGTCTGTTTTTGTTATTTAAGAGTATTGCGCATATACAGTGCAATTTTTCAGCGCTGTAAAAGATCCACATACAGGGCTTAAAACCAGCCATAAAAAACACGCTCGCAATAAGCAGCAGTGCTGTAAATGTCGGTGTTCTGCATACATTTCTTGTTATATTCCGAATACAAATGAGCTTTTCATTATTCGACAAAAGATGGGAGATATCAATCTTAATTTGAACCCCTTTTATTTTCCAGATGTTACACGCAGCAAAAAATATCAGTTGAAAAGGAAATTGCCACTTTGAGTCTGAAATTAAATTCGATAAGCCTTCACACTTCAAACTGCTGACACATTTGAAGAAGCACACATCACACAAACCAGTAGCACAGCTTTCAGTTTTGTATATGCTTGAAAAATTCTAGGCTGCACTGTTTGAAGTAAAATTACACATTGAGTAAATTTTTAAAATAAAAATGAGTAAATGCCAACACAAATTTCACCAGTAATATTTCTGTACCTATTATTTTATCTTTGGCTGGTTTCCCCATTAGCCAAATCCTATTTGCACAGAATCCTATATGTTTTAAATATAAATTGTTTGGATTCCTTTTCATTGAATCACATGATCAGCTCTTGGACTTACTTTTTTTCTAGTATTGTATTGCCTGCATGTAAATATTTCCACATACAGTAGGTGCATACCTGACAGTTAAGGAACTCAATAGTTTGAAATTTCACTTCAGAACTAGGATATTATACAAGGGACCAGAATCTTGCATTAAAGCGATTCCACAATGTACATCAAGGAAAATATAAAATAAGGTTTTAGATGGCATTTTTCTTTAAAGAGTATATTGGCTTTTGGATAGAGTGCGGAAGGATTAGAAATTTTGTCAAGTTTTTATTGCTGTGTCTTTACTGGTAAGACTCACCATCTATATATGTCCTGGTGACCATTATCACCAAAAGTGATGGGAAATCCAAAATTTTACAGTTGTCACACGAACAATCTTCCAATGGGGACACATGGTCTGGTGACGACTGTTTAAGAGAAAGATTCCCTTCAGTTTGTAGATTTCCTCTTGCTGATGCTTTCAGACAAGATTTAACATAACTCAAAAAAACACTTCCCTGCTCTATCCAAAACTGAATATAAGGTTCAGGCTACCTATACACTTTAAAGAACATTTAACAACTGAAATCAAACATTGAGGGTACATATACTATCTAGCAACTGTGCTACAGGATAAAGTTTGCTCATCTTACCATAAGCAGCCCATAGATGAGTTAGTTTGTTTTGTTTTTTTCGTTCAACCACTGGAGTGAACAAAAAAAACTGACTTGATTCCCCCATCCAGACAGTCGATGTGGATGAGAGACTCCTCCCTACTCTGTCTTTGTATTCTGACAGTAGGAAGACTTCCCCATTACCAGAATACACTGATCAGCATTGCAGGCTATAGCATGCAGCACTGATTGAGCAAGGAAAATCCAACAGGGTGGTTGTATAGAATACAACAAAACAAAAGACAGCACTGCAGGTAAGGAAACCCTCCACACAATCAAGTCCCGCCACACAATCAAGTCCCCATAAGGCTTAGAGTGGGCAACTCTTCCGTGTTATCTATGATATCAACTGGACATCTCTACCACTGACAACATCCATTGTATGCTCTATTAGGCCTTGCTGCCTTCTTCAATTCGGAGGAAATCCAGTACTAGAAAACAAGCAGAAGGAGGAGGCACACTAGCCTAGTGCATTACAGTAGGACTCTTTATTAAATAAAATACACTCCAATATACTCACAAAGGAATAAAAGTCAAGTGCATGTAACAATTCCCATCACACCACCAGATTTTTGTCCATCAGATAGGGCATAGCTGATGCGTTTCAAGGGCTATGCCCTCTGCCTCAGAGCAATTGGAAGATTGACTTCTGTACAAACTCATTACCCATACATGGTTTGAAATTCAGCCAGTCCCTGCTGAACTTGCTAAATTTCGATCCATATATGGCCAGCTTTACACTTATTTTGAATAATGCCCTGAATCCACAAGAACACAACTATCCAAAGAGGTGTCAGCAGATGAGAGTTAGAAGTGTACTTTTAAAATTATCAGCAATCATATTCAGACTTTTCAGGAAGGTTTGAATTAATTAGTGGCTATGACAAATATCTCACTATGGGCTCCTTTTTTATAGAGACATCAAGAAACTCAGTGTATACATTCGGCTGTTGAAGACTTTCTCAAAGATAAGAAAACCTAGTTGACTGGCAAAATGTCAGATTTGAAATAGGAAGCTGTTGGTGCACATGGGAATGCATAAATATACTTCTAAACAGCAGCCTGTACCAGCTCTGATGGTGGTGGATAAACTGCTGTGCAAACTGAACTGATCTTTGATGTCACTTGTACCTGCAGGAGTCTATTCAATGAGGAGAATGGATTAGCCCTAGGAGCAGGACACTCTTCCTGAACATACGAAAACCCCAGACAGAGTAGAAGGAGGTCTTTCAACAGGAAACTGAAATGGCATTTTTCTCTATAGGGCATGTGTTTCCTCTCTGGATTGCAGAGATCAATTACACAACAAAGGAATTTGTGACTTACAAAGAATGATTGCTAATACTTATACTTGATGTTCACAAACTATCAATGCCTCGCTACCCATATTAAAGCAGACCTTGCCCAAGCCATCATAAAGAAAGTTATGCCACCATCTTATCTCATCATATCTTGAGCACTCTCCCCCTGGCCAAGAGCATAGGATTTAATTACCCCATACTTTCTGGAGTTTGACCCCCCCCCCCCCCCCCCCCCCCCCCCCCCCCCCCCTCCTCCTTGCCAATGTCACACTAGACATCATCTGACTAAAGAAAAAGAAAATCTATAATTTCAAGAATTCTCAAGATCATGCAGTGTATAGACTAGATTTCCCAGGAAAGCGCTGGGTGAGCTCCCCCTCTCAGGATGCATCTTTGAGGCCCTGGCTACATCACCTGTTCCTCTAGAGACCAGAAAGTGAAATATAGTTAAAGTGGTTGTAAAGGATGAAGGTTTTTTATTCTATGAATGAAGGTAAAAAACCTTCTGTGTGCTGCAGTGTCCCCAGCCCCCTGAATACTTACCTGAGCCTCATCGCAATCCAGTGATGTTAATGACAGCCTTGGCTGTCCCGGGTCTCTGCCTCCTCCTTGGCTGAGACAGCAAGTGTGAGCCATTGGCTCCCACTGCTGTCAATCACAGCCAGTCAGTCAATGAGGAGAGGGGGTGAGGCCAAACCGTGGCTCCGTGTGTATGGGCACATGGAGCAGTGGGTGCTCCCATAGCAACCTGCTTGATTATGGGGGCATCCGGAGGGAGGGAGGGGCCAGGAGAGCCTGTGGGGAGACCTGAGAAGAGGAGGATCCAGGCTGCATTATGCAAAACCACTGCACACAGCAGGTAAGTTAGTTAAAAAAAATGAACCTTTAGAATCGCTTTAAAGGGCATAAGTAACAGCCAAACACCCTTATTTCACCATTAAGGTAAAACCTAGATGATATAACATCAGTAGGCAGAGATGCTTTCAAAAGTGATTTTTTTTCTGTTGGTTGGGTGGTCTGCATTAAGACTCTCCATTTGGTTTGTAAGTGACATTTTGAAACATCTAATATTTATAGGCTGCATTTATTGTTTTATAGCAAGCTTTTAATCTTGTATGTAGTAAATGACATGTTTTAATCTTGATCAATTGGTTTATAGGTTATGTGAAAGGAGCACTCTGGTTCCTTCCCACACTCAATGCTGGTATGTTAATTGGATCCTATCTAAATTGGCCCTAGTATGTATGAATGTGAGTTTAGAGACCTTAGACTGTAAGCTCTTTGAGGGCAGGGACTGAATGCACAATACATATGTGAAGTGCTGTGTAAATTGACAACACTATAAGTACCTGTAATAAAATATTTATTTGTTGGATGTTTGTATACAATCAAATTTGCACTTTTTATCTACAGTAACGAAAAAAAAAAAATCAATAGGCCAATAGCAGAAATGTACAAATTGCTCTGATCCATAGAGGGTTTAAAGGTATACAGGTGTGAGAGCTAAAGTGGTTAACATACACTTGTTCTGGAACTAACTGTAATTACAGCACATACTGTAGTGTATGTATTATTATTATATGTCTATAATTTGCTCAGGGTAGCTCTACCCAAGATGTCAGCATGCATGTTAATAGTCTTTTTTTTTTTCTCAGTGTAATGTTCTTGTCATTTTATATCTTTCTAAAATTCTATCATACTGTGATCCATGATTTCCCACAATTGCTATATTTATAGAGAATTGTAGCATACTGGTAGGAGGATTCAACAGTGCTTTGTAATGCGGAATCATTCTTTCACTTTTGTCTTTAGCTAGTGATACAGAAGAAGCTGAATGGAGTTTATAGTTCTCTGTGGAAATTTTCTGTTCCTCAATGAGATGTAGAAGGTGCAACAGTGCACTCAAGTAATAGCCTTTACTGCACATCCTTTTTGCTTACACTTGGATAACAAAAATGTGCATTCCTTTGAAAAAATAAATTTGTATCACTCACCGGATGGTCAGCGTCCAATTCAGAGCCATACATTAAAACCCTGTGGGAACACTTGTCAAGTTCTGAGATTTTTCTTGGGAACCATGGGACACCATCAAGTTCTACTGGAAAGAAAGGTTCAAGTTTATAAAAGGAGTGGCAAAGTAAATGTTTTCACTTGTAGTACATGGAGTGAGTGGCAAAAGAATAGTATGGGTAGGCAATGGGTAGGTAATTAGGATATTTGAAATAAATAGTTATGCTCATAGAGTCTTTCCAATAAACAGTGTCAGACTGGAATAGACAAGGTCCAGCAATGAAGCTAGTTGTAAGGTCTACCACAGAAAAGAAAACCTGACTATGCCCGATTATGCCATATCTTTTGCCTAATACAAAAACACACACTGATTTATTGAGAGGATTCATGCATTCCATAGTTTCTATGCAGGTAATTGTTCCAATTATTTCATACTTTCCAAAGATGAATGTGGTAAGGGCTTTGTGTTCAGATGCAGGTTATCTGAGCCATATACAGTAATACCTCGGTTTACGTATGCCTCGGTTATCGGAACTTTCGGTTTACGGATGAAAATCCATTGATAACAATGCCTCGGTTTATGAATTTATATCTCCGTGCATGCTGGAGTCTGTGTTGCGCCTGGGAGGTTTATATCTCCATGCATGCTGGAGTCTGTTTTGCGCCTGGGAGGTTTACACAGTAGCACTCTGCATGCTGGAGTCGGTGTTGCTCCTGGGAGGTTTAGCACCATGCATGCTGGAGTCTGTGGAAAGGTAGGGAGGTGAGCTTTGTCGCTTGCATGTCTTTTACTGTGTGTTCTGCATTGGAGGTGGTTTCCATGCCAGCTCATGTGCTGTGCATGCCTGCTACTGTGTGTTTTGCATTGTGGGGTGGTTTCCATACCAGCTCATCTTCTGTGCATGCCTGCTACTGATAGACTTAGGGCTCTTGGACTGGGTGTGGGTCTACAGTAAAGCATTTTTTTTTATTTTCTGCTCACTTAGTGACTGTGGTGTCATGGCACCCAAGAAAGCAGCGGAAGCTGGGAAGAGGAAGAAGGAGATGATTCTGCTTGAGGTCAAGAAAGAAATCGTCAGGAAGCATGAAGGAGGACTGCAATTGACTGACCTTGCCAAAGAGTATGGAAAGAGTGCATCCACAATCAGTACCATCCTAAAGATGAAAGAGAAGATAACTGGGAGAAATGTAGCCAAGGGAGTCACCAGGGTCTCCAAGCAATGGCCTCCTGTTCTGGAGGAGGTCGAAAAGTTGCTCCTGCTTTGGATTGAAGAGAAGCAGCGTGCAGGGGACACAGTGACCAAGGCGATCATCTGCGAAAAAGCCAAGGCCTTGCACACTGATCTCTTTGACCAACAGCCAGGAATGTCAGCCGATGCAGAAGGCTTAAAGGCGAGCAGGGGGTGGTTCAAAAGGTTCAAGACCAAATCTGGCATCCACAGCATGGTCAAGCATAGAGAGGCAAGTTCTGATGTTGCTGCAGATGAGGAATTTGCTACAGAGTTCCTGGAGGTCATAATTTCAGAGGGCTACCTTCCTCAGCAGGTCTTCAACTGCAACAAGACTGGGCTCTTCTGGAAAAGGATGCCAACGTGTACCTTCAACATGGAAGAGGAGACCACATTGCCTGGCCACAAGCCGACGAAGGACCATCTCACCCTCCTGTTCAGCGCCAATGCCAGTGGGGACCTTAAGATCAAGCCCCTGCTCGTCTACCACTCAGAGAACCCACGGGCCTTCAAGAAACACAAGGTGAAGAAGGAGCAGTTGAGCGTTTTGTGGTGGTCCAACCCAAAGGCTTGGGTCACACGCCTCTTGTTTGTGCAGTGGGTCAATCTTGTTTTTGGTCCTGCTGTCAAGCAGCACCTTGCTGACAATAACCTGCCGCTCAAGGCCGTGCTGCTCATGGACAATGCTCCTGCTCATCTTCCAGGCCTCGAGGAAGACTTGCTGGAGGACTTTAACTTCATCACAGTTGTGTTCCTTCCGCCTAACACCACCCCACTACACCAGCCAATGGACCAGCAGGTCATCTCCAATTTTAAACAACTCTACACAAGGGAGCTTTTCCGGCGATGCTTTGAGATGACAGACTGATCAAGCCTTATCCTCCATGAATTTTGGAGAGACCATTTTGACATCGTGAGCTGTCTGCAGATTATCACCATTGCCTGGGCCGGGGTCAACCATAGAATCCTAAATTCAGCTTGGCGCAACCTGTGGCCAGACTGTGTTGTGACACCTGATTCCGGTGCTTTTGCACCTGCACCAGTCAACAGTGTTGAAGGAGATTGTTTCCTTTGGGGAGGACCATGGGGCTGGGGGTGACTGAGGAAGAAGTCTGCAAGCTGGTGGAGGAGGGACACAACTGTGAGCTAACCACTGAGGACCTGGTGGAACTGCAGAAGGAGGCGATGGAGGAGCGGGTCTCATTTGAAGAGGAGGAAACAAGTGAGGAAGAGCTCAAGGAGGGAACTCAAGGAGGTATGCCAACTGTGGGTAAACCTACAGGTTTTTGTACAGCAGCACCACCCAGATAAGGCTCTAGCCCAGAGACTTGTGAACAGTTTTGACACCAACGTCATGTCTCATTTCCGAGGGATGCTGAAAAGGCTCCAGAGGCAGCAGACAATGGAAAGGTTCCTACTAAAACAGCCTAGACATGAAGAAGAACCTGCTTGTGTTAGTGCTGCCCAGTTGCTCTGCTCCTCCAGAGAGTGTTGAAATTGTTTGAAAAGTTTGCCATGTTTTAAAAGATGATGTGAGCTTTAAAATTTGAAGTTGGATGCTTGAGTAATCCTGTCCCTGTACAGTATTAATGCCTTTAAAAAGTGAACTTTATAAAGAGTTTTGAACAGATAAAAGACTTGTTTTTTACCTTTTTCTGACCTCAGGAATGGATCAATTGGTTTTTAATACATTCCTATGGGAAACGGTGTTTTGGTTTACAAATTTTCTGCTATACGACAATTCCAGCAGAACAAATTAAATTCATAAACCGATGTATTACTGTAATTAGATTAGTTTGTGTAACCTTAAGTGGTCCTAAAGGTAGAAGATTTTTTTACCTTAAAGCAGAGTTCCAGTCATTTTTGTGTAAAAAAAAAAAAAAACTGTAGCCGCTGACTTTTAATAAACACACACACTCACCCATGCTGTCCCTTCTCTCCCTCTTCTTCCCCCTGCACTGGCATTTCAATTCTTGGCACCGGACTGTGACAGCTTATGGGTTCACAGCCGGGTGCCCACTGCAAATGCAAGTTGCGCTGCGCATCCTGATTGATCTGGCAGTTGTCTGGAACCTGTGAAGTGCCCCAGAAGACTGCGGGAAGAAGGAGGGGGAACAAACTTCCGGCTGACTTTGCCGCGGCGAACTGAGCCGGAAATGGGAGCGGGTACCTGTCAAAGCCAGGTATGCGCTCGCCCCTCCCCCCAAAATGTGCCAAACATAGCAGTGGAGGGGGGGGGGGAGGCAAACAAGCGGAGCTTCCACTTTTGGGTGGAACTCTGCTTTAACTCTGTTACCAGCGGCTAACGGAAAACTTTCCGATCATGTGACCGCTGTCACTGTCAGTCATGATCACACATGATCACAAACCCCGCCCCCACCTCCCAGCATCTGAAACCCCTTAAAGGGATGAGAGACGCCGGCACCAAGGGGTTAATGCATCCTCTGCATTAAGGTAAAAAAACCTTCTGCAAGCAGCTCCCCCTAACCTGCTCTTATACTTACCTGAGCCCTATCTCGATCCAGAGATGTGCTGCAGAGCAAAGTCTTTGTTGGCTTTTGCTCTCCTCATTGGCTAAGACACAGCAGCAGGAGGGAGGGATCAGGGGGCTGGGCCAAGCTGTGCTCTGCTATGTCTTATGGACACACAGAGCAAGCACGAGAGTGAGCATGCACTAGTGCCCCCATATCAAAAGGCATGCTATAGGGGCAGTCAGCGAGGCATGCCATCAGGAGAACCCAGAAGAGGAGGACTACAGAACAGGCAAGTATGACATGTTTGTTATTTTAAAAAAAAATAATAACGATGCCTTTACAATCACTTCAAGTACAATGCCTCTGCCCCTATTTCTGTATCTGTTGCAGAAAACATGAGGGGTTCTGGGAAAGGATGTGCTCTTCCAGCTGCCTCCTTGCTGACTATCCAAAACCCTGCTACCCCTGTGCTCCATGTGCAGATAATGAAAATATGTTTTAATAATATTCTTGCCTTCGTCTTCTCTCCATTTCCTCTCTGCTGGATTCACACAGATGATGTTTGGCTGAAGTTTTAGCAGATGAACGAGTTCCTGGTATTTCTTCTTGGTGCATTCAAATTCAACATAGATCTCTGCCTCAGAGCTGCCTTTCTTTGATTTTCTTGACTCAATATGACTGATATTCACATACTTTTCCTGAAAAGGCATATAGAATGTTACTTCATAATTATAACTATTGGATCCAATGTCTACTCAATACACTTTCCTTCTGCCATCAGAAGTTATATAGAAATATCTTTTGTAAGTAATATGTCATTACATACCAACTGCTAATGCTTATGGAATTCATATCTAACTACAGTTAAAATAAATCTAAAGACAAAACTTTTTTTTTTTGTTGGAATAGGCTGTGCTAGGGCTAAAACCTGTGTCAGGTTATCACCCTCTGTGAAAGGGCTGCCATCGGGGAGGGGGGACAGCCCAAACATATGTCAGGGGCCTGCGTGTCCCGAGGGGCCTGGGAAGTGGGCCCCAAGCAACCAGTTGTTGCCTGGTTCTTATCATTTTGACTGCCATATCCACTCAACGGACTATTCTCAGCTATAGAGAGACAGATGCCACCATGTCGGGAGGCAGAAACTGGACCAGCTGATGGGCCAGTAGAGTGAAGGAGGAGGAGCTCTCTGCTGTGTGAGGCGGCCCCATGTCGGGAGAGGTGCAGTGGAGACACATGAAGGAAGCCAGGCAGTAAGTACCCAGGACTCAGGAAGTACATACAGTTCCGGTGATACATACCATTTGCTGAGTAATATAAGAAGATATTCCCTCCCTGCTTCTGTGTTAGAAATGCCTCTGACATTTAGCTGCCTACATGTAAAAAATAGTCATGATACCAAACTACCTGAGATCATTCAAAGCCAGGTATCTGCAAATCCTATAGGGAAACAGCTTAAAATCTAGAATGCTATTCAGAGGAAATCTGGTTACATTTTGTTTCAGCGAACCTTATTAGCAAGGAGTATTCATATGTGAAGTGCATCCTGTGATCTGGTATCACCAGAAGATCACAGAAAAATACAGATCTCTAATGTATTTGCACTGGAACATGGTGAAAGTAATGCATGCACTACATTTAAAAAAAACTCACCAAACCAAATTGCACGGTGTGGAAAACGCATTAGGAATGTGCCTTTCCCATACCGCGTTCTGGTATGAACTGGCCCTTAATGATATTTGTGACAGGAACAATGAAATTAACTACTCTCTAGACTCACTGTCAACTGGGATAGCATTTAAAGTGGTTCTAAAGATATGACATTTTACCTTAATGCATTCCCTGCATTAAAGTGATAATAAACCCAAAGGCAAACATTTATTATATTGCAGCTTACCGATTCTTAAATGTGATGACTGCATTCGTTTTCTTTTTTAGGCTTTCTTTCCTTTTATTTTCATCTGGCGAACCAGCCAGGAAGTAGTTTTTTCAAAAGAACAAGCTCTTTTGTAGAGGTATCAAGGCTTGAGACAAACACTGGCAGGGGTGCTGACAATTATCAGTTTTATTTATTTATGTAAAGCCCAAAAGGAACAAAACAGTTGCTGTAACTGATTATAAAGTGTGAGCTGGAGTTTGACGTCAATTTATTAGTGTATCTAAATCTGCTAGTACATTTAACACTCCCCTCTGCCCAGACTGACAATGCTGCTATCCAAAGATGACCCTATTTTCCTTCATCAAGAATGGAGACACTCTAATACAGGAAGTTTGTTACTGGCCAAATCACCAGGTGAAAACAAAGGGAAAAGATGCCTGAAAAAAGTGGTTGCACTGAAGGACACGGTGGCATGGCCAGTGGACAGATTTGGTTGGAAGGCCAGTGGGTGGGCCCAGGGTATGTTGGTGGTCGTCCCGAGGGGGCCAGGCCTAAAGCTGTGTATGAGGCCCCAATATTTCTGATGGCTGCCCTGCTCTGTGGCCCTCTATGGGAGGCTCATCTTTTGTGTTAGCCTTGGTGACCACTGTCACTGTGACACAAAATGATGGAAAATCAAAAATGTTATCAATGTCACAAGAGCAGAGGATGAGGGAGTATATCACAATGAATGCACCTGTTCTGGTGTGCATATCTGCTCCACTGACAACTGTCTAATAGGGGATATCTTTGCACTTTAGATAGATTTCCTTTCACTTCCTCTTGTGTCTTCAGGATGGGAAATATTGGGATCATAAACACTCCCGCTTCAGCAATTCTCATCTGGGCTAGAATTACATCACTTGCCCCCTACTCCTTCACCTGCACCCTCCTGGGATATATCAGACACCTCACAATCTTATGCATGCACAGTGGGGAGCCAGCAGTGAGATATGAGGAAGTTGGCTTCCACATCCAAGATGGCAGCACTGGGAATCCAAAGCCTGATGAAGAATCTGCTCCAATGAAAAAAATGCTAGACTCCTGGGTTGGTAAGTACCTGTTTGTTGAAAGTCATCAGCTATAGTATTTGTAGCGGCAGACTTTTATTTTTTAAAACAGGAGTGAGGTTCCTCTTTAATTAATTTTTGTCAGCAAAGCAAAGAAACTCTTCCTGATTTCCCTTCTCACACCTCAAACATGTCATCCTCTTAATCCAAGAGACTGGGTACTGAAGAAGAAATTCCTAAGAAAGGATGGCTTGGAGCCAGGGGCGGACTGACCATTTGGAAACTCTGGCACTGCCCGAGGGCCCGGGGTCAGTAGGGGGCCCCATGAGATGCCCCTGGTACCTTTTTCATAGGCTTTTTTGAGTTTGGGCAAGGACACAGGGGCCCCATGATCTCCTATTGCCCGGGGCCCCCATGAGTTGTCAGTCCACCCCTGCTTGGAGCCATAATGGTAATGGCCTCATCACATATTGGAGACAATCTCTACAGCTGCTAATCTGCAGGGAAAGTCTGGATGCACACTGCCCACTCCTATTTGCTGTCAACACCAGGGGCAGGCTGACCATTTTGGAACTCGGGCACCGCCCAAGGGCCCGGGGTCAGTAGGGGGCCCCTATGAGATACCCCTGGTACCTTTCATAGGCTTTTTTGGGTGTGATTTGAGTGTGGGCAAGGACACAGGGGCCCCATGATCCCCTATTGCTCGGGGGCCCCATGAGTTGTCAGTCCACCCCTGGTCAACACCTAAGTCTTTGAAGAAAATATTAAGAAACCAACAACTATGCCCTCCTAGGGGAAGTTCACCTGCTGGGAGGCAAGTCTCCTTGAAGAAGACTCTTAACTTTGCTATTTTATCCTAAGTAAAATGAACCCAGGACATATTCTGGGTATCAACCAGCTGAAAAAAACCTGAAGTTAATAACCTTTTACACTTTATAGACCTTAAAGTGACACTAGAGGTTTAACAAAAATAGCATATATGATTATTTCGGCTTTTATTTAATTAAATTAGTCTTTTTCGCAAAAAGAGAAACAGCTTGAAAAATGTTAGCTTGAGTAAAGCTTTAACCTCCATCTAATCTACTGGTCCATCAAACACAACCTTTTCCAGACAATGCTTCTGTCCCATTGTGACTCCATTGCACTTTCATGGATAGACCACCATAAAACCATCCCAGGATGGAATTTCAATTCATCTATAGATAAGCTGATTGTACAGATGTTGATCTATTGATCAACTTCCCAACTTCCGTGCAACCAGTCTGTCAGGTTTTTTTCATTCATTCTCTGCTGGTGGCTATAGCCACCAGCAGTGACCATTGTATTCTGATGGACTGGAAACCTCCTGCTGTCAAAATACAATAGTGCAGCGGGAGGGATTCCATAATCCACAATGTTGGCAGGAGCTGTAATCCTTCCCCACTGTATTGAAAACTAAAAATTTCTTCGGCTGGAGCCGGGCTTTAAAGAGTCTGTCACTGGTAATCTAACCATTTACAGTATGGCCGCTTCCCTCCCCCCCTTGCTGACACCCGCTGTGTCAGCAGGTTTCAGCCAAAGCTTCATGGCTGAGACCTGCGGATCGGCTGTGTCCAATCACAGCCGAGAGCCCTATCTTGACACGCACACAGGGCTCTGTACAGAAGGAACGATCTGTGTCAAACTGATATTTAGTAAAATGCAACGCATATTACACACATTTACACTTGTTAGGCACACGCTTAACCCTTTGTTTACCCTGAGATGTTAACTCCCTCCCAGTCAGTGTAATTCGTACAGTGACAGTGCACAGTATTATCACTGATCACTGTATTAGTGTCACTGATGATGTCAGTGTCAGTTAGTCCATTAGTCTATCTTCTGCCCAGTGTCAGAATGCAACCCCACTATGACAGTCCCACTATAAGTCACTGATAACCGCCATTACTAGTATAAAACAACTAAATAAAAATTCCAGTATATATCCCATAGTTTGTAGTAGACGCTATAACTTCCACACAAACCAATCCATATACACTTATAGGGATTTTTCTTTTACCAAAGACATGTAGCAGAGTACATTTTGGCCTAAATTTATGAAGAAATTTGATTTTTTTTTCCATTTTTTTATTGGATATATTTTATAGCAGAAAGTAGAAAAAAAATGGCTTTCATAATTTTTCGGTGTTTTTTTCGTTTATATATAAAAAAAAATAAAAAATCTAGTCGCGATCAAATACCACCCAGCATTTTTGCTTTTGTATATGATTAGATGATGTAAGTCAGGAAAGCTTAACCTCACTCATTAAGCTATGGTGTAAATTCCCTTGCAAAGTGAAGAGCCTATTCACCTTTAGTAATTCAACCCCTAAGCTGCTCTGTCTGAGCTCTCCCAAAATATGGTGCTTCTTGTATGGTGGACCATGTGATCTCTCCCAGGATGCAGAGCTTGAGCCTGAGCAGCCAGTTGTCAAGCCTGAACACTGTCACATAGGTAGGAGGAATACATCATAAGCTCTGACACCATCCAACATGAAGGTTACACTGGGCTTAATCCATAGCTCTGATGAAAGGATTCAGCAGGGGTTTGGGGGCCTTTTAAGAGACTGTCATATGTTCCCGAATAAACAAAGTGTCAGAGTCTCTTTAAATCATCGTTTTCAGTGTTTGGTAAAATAACTGAGCAATTAAATAGGCAATTACAAAAAAGAAGGTGCTCATGTCGTGGCATCTGAAAGATACTGCAGTAAAGATATAGCAGGGATTAAACCAAATTAAAATAAAACAATAAGAATACTGTAAAGCTTTCAAAATGAACATCTATAATGTTTTTCCTTTGCAACATTACTATCAGATTCATAAAACAAGATAGTTGTTTCTATTGCTCCAGCCTACCACCAGCGACCCCCTACTATACTATCCATCCTTGTTTGTCTTTCTTCGGACCCCTTACTGTCCTCCTCTCATTATTATTGGTTTGGTGTTCAGCTCAAGAGGTGAGAGGTGATTTGTGTGAAGAGATCTGCTCTACTTCTAAGAGTACATTTTCAGCTTGAATATTTGTAAGATGTTAGTCTCAGCATGGTAATGCAGTCACCAACAACTGCTACAGCAGATTTTAGCGCTGGTGTTGATCACTGCAGTAGACTTCTATGGCTATTGTGTTTCCTTTAGCATCTGTTATACTAGCTTGTATAAAACAACAAATTCTACCAAGACATTTAGCTGTTGCTGGTTTTTCAACAAACTAGAATATTTTACAAATACTTGTATTGAAGTCTCCCCCTACTGTTAAGTCAAGGTACTCTACTGACTACAAAAGCCCATACAACTAATATGCACCATAAATGATTTATTTATTTCAAGTACTTATATAGCGCCATCAATGTACGCAGCACTTTACATATATATTCTACATTGACATCAGCCCCTAACCCTCAAGGAGTCTACAATCTAAGGTCCCTAACTCACATTCACAAATACACATACTAGGGCCAATTTAGACAGGATCCAATTAGCCTACCAGCATAGGGAGAACATGCAAACTCCATGCAGGTGGTGCCGTGGTTGGGATACAAGCCAACAACCCTAATACTGCCAGGCGGAAGTGCTAACCACTTAGCCACTGTGCTGCCAATGAGTTTTTATTGTTTTAGGTACATATCAGGGACTTAGATCTGAAAATCCAAAACTAACGATAGCAATTTTCTATATATGTGTTTTTTGAGGTTTACATGTCCCCTGTATGCTCTGAAATAACTAAACAACATTACATTGGCAAAGGCATAAAATTTTCTAGTGATATATGTGAATGCAACCAATTTACAATAGAACTCAGCCAAACTGGTAATTGTGCAATTAAAGTTCACATGTGCAAACTGCTAAAGGGTTTGTAATTCTGTTGGCAAGTTTTGTTAATCACAAACTCATGCCACCACTACCTAGATAGATGGGTGGCATCACTGTCTGCTATTGCAGCTCTGCAGCTTTTTTGTTAGCTCCCAAGCTCTCTCTTACTCACAGGAGTATGATTGAGCGTCCCCCCTAAAGTAAAAGTCCTTCTTGGGCTTCCCTTATCTTTGTAATTATGCCTACACATCCTGCCAAGTCTATAGTGCCTGAAACATTTTACAGGATGACAGCACTGTACCATGCAAGACAGTTTACAGGGAGCCCAGGAAATTAGATATGTTCTTTGCTCTAATGGATTCTGGGAGTCTTTGAAAAATTACAAATTAAAAATTACAATTAGAGCAAGATTATGAAAAGGCTGAGCTTCAGTGCCTTTGCATGTTTCAAATGGTAATTACATGTTCTGTATTAATATCTCCTCTTTGAACAAACACTGTTGGTCAATATTAATCCTTTCTACCAGTTTAAGAGATTATAAGGCTGAACTCTAGGCAGAAAGATGTAATAGACACAGCTCGGTATTGATTAATGCAGCTTTAGATTTTTTTTATATACAAGCATTGTAGATACCTGAATATGACTTAGCTTAGGTGTCTTGCAGTCCCGTACAGTAAAGCAGCACTCAGACTATGAAAGAAAAATGCAGCACCAGGAGCCAGTAAGTTGTGCTGCAGTGCTGTTGATAGGTGGAGAAAGCAGAGTGACATAGAGAATAGCTCACCAGTCTATTACTTCTACTTTCACTGTCGACTAGCAGGCTGGGGCAGGGGGAAAACCTGTAAGTGTTAATTAACTGCAGCAGAGAAAAATTGGGTCTTCTGCCCTACCAGACTGGGCTGTGCTGTGGGGCAGAGCTGTGGACATCTCAGACGTAGAGAATGGAAATACAAATCCTTTAGCAGGTAAAACAGCTTTAATATACAGTATATAATTTAGCTGTGTACCTGCAATTTTAAAGTGTATGTTAACCTAAAATGTATTTTTTTTTTTGTCAATGTGTGTGTTTGCCCATGTGGAAGGTTATGATAGTTTTCTGTTTTCTTTTGATTTTGTCCTATTATGACAAATACCTGGTAATCCTACCAGTGCCCCTTCTTTGATTTTGAAATCTGGCCACACCAAAACACAGAAACAGCTGAATGCTGGTGTGTTCTTTCCAAATACTTTTTTATTAAAGTTTTCAACAATTTACAATGCATGAAACCAAACCAAGTAGAACAGTCCACAAACTGGTTGTACATTTACCACATAAGACAATAATATCCTCATTTGAAATTACACATGGATACAGCAAGGCCAAAGTTAGAAATGGTATCAAAACGGTATTCCATTGTATCCCTGGTATCATAGTGCAATAAAACATGTTGCAATCATAGTACCTTCCTAACCTAGGTTGCCTATTCCTATATTGGGGTAAAATGTACAACAAACAATTGTAACATAACTCAATAAATTACAGTTTGGCAACCCACATCATGTCTTGCTCATAAGTAAGGTGTCTAGTTTATGCTTGCTTCATTATGGGTCCCTCCATCACTAACTGTGCAGTATGAAATCGGTACTGTGATAGCTGAATATCTCTCTGTAGAGGTCAATTAATATTGTAATATACTCAGGGATACAAGAGCTAGAGGGGGCAAACCTGGAGTCTGAAGCCAAGGTTCCCAGATCCTATCAAATGTAGATGGAGTCCCCCTCTGTCTCATAATTTGTTTTTCTTTCAACAAGGTAGAATTAACATTTGTCCACCACTCCTCAAATGTAGGGGTTGCAGGTGCAAGCCACTTCAGCACAATGCATGTACGCACCAGGAACAGAAGTCTAG